GGCCCAACTGTGGCTATGACTTATGCAGGGGTGGCCTGAAGTTTTTCTTTTGTTTTTGTTTTTTTTTAATTCAGTAATTTAACTGGGACACAGCTAATGAACATTTCCTCACATTTAAAATCCAAAGTATTTGCCACGCATACAGGATTATAGCTCTGGCTCCTCTCTAAACACACAACCCGAGTCTCTGCCTCATATCCTACTGCTTCTCTTTACCTGTATGGGTCTCCTTTTGTGTCACTATTCTTCAATACTTTATTTATAATGCTGCCCATACAACACTACCCGCGTTTTGAAATGTTTCACTCAACATCCTGCAAACACAGCAGCTGCTCGGCGTGCTGACGAGGATTGTTGTTGTTACCATTGTGTAGCATATCGCAATGATTCTAAAAGAGTCACATCCCTCTCAATGTGTTAACAGGAGGGACGTGACAAGTGGATGTCCTCTTTCCTCGCTCTCTGATCACCTGCATGTGTCAGATGCTACTTAAACGCATACGCTCGGAGGACAACAAGGAGAGACGGTTCTCTAGTTTATTAATCATGGATGGCAGTCTTATACGGATACACACAGGGAAAATGTAGGAATGTATTGCAAATGTACTTGGGTGGCTTTACTTAGGTAATCAGACTACAGTATAATTGGGGGCCCTGGCCACCCACTAGATCTGGCCCTGCCTCAGGGTGACATTTCTGCAGAAGTGTACACATATTAACACATGGCTTTGAAAACATAACTCATTAAAGATTCATGTATTTAAATAATTCATGCAGTGTCACTTTTTGACCTGCTCGGGCATTGAAACCTATTTCTGCCACTAAAATCTATAAAAGTTACCTTTTACATTGAATATGTCTCATTCACTCTCCCTGTTAAAATGCAGTGCTCAAATCTCAAAAGAATTGTCTACGGAAGTGAATCATGGGCAAACAAGGGCCAGACCGATATTGACATGGGGAGAGAGAAAGAATCCCATACCGATATATCGGCCGAGATCTTTCTTAGATCTATCTTCGATCTGTAGCGATAAATATACACATTCATTGCGTTGAACCCTCAAATGCAAGGCCCCGTACACTCTGCTGTGGATGCACTGTTAGCTGCTGGTTATTCGAGGCTACCACACTCAGATAAGCAGTTTATTATTAAGTTTTGTCCTGAAAGTATCAATCAATCAAAGTGCTTAGCTCTCATATGGAGTAATTATAAACTTGGGTCCTATTTCTACATATTCCAGGGTCTTAATCACTTTAAAAGTAGAAAAAACTTAAACGAAGGCCCCAGTCGAAGCTTCAGCCCACGGTCATGAGACAGGCTGTAAAGGTCCTGGATCAGTGTTTGTCCACTAAAACTGCTGGGTTTTATCTCCCACAGTTTTACATTGTTATCCATCGTGATCCGACAGCATTACAATGAGACAAAAAGCATAGATAGACTTTTTGTTAGAAAGGAAGATGTTTTTTTTTTTTTAAAGCAGAAACAGACGTGAAATAGATCTCTTTAAAGCCACAAGACTCCAGTCACAAAAACATATATATCTTAACTAGGGCTATCAAAAGATTAGTTTTTAAATGCAATTAATCGCTAAATATAATAGTTAATTGTGATTAATCACATTTTTAATTGCATGTTTGAAATTCCATTACTTCACAAAAATTGTTAGTCTTGCTGTTTGAATTCAACCCTGCTTTTATTTTGAAAGATTAGCAGTGAGGACCGTCTGGTAGATCTAAGGTAATGACATGAACTTTACCACAAAGAAAAGCACTCGTTCAAATCATACGCTAAATGAAAACCGCTCAAAGGAACGTGACAAAGGTAAATGTGTGATGTCATAAGGTGGATATTACTTTGGACTCGAGACGTTCAAAGATGCAGCAGTGTCCTTCTTTTACATCACTGAGACTACAGGGAGACACTGAGGACGAATAACTACGGTGAGCCTGAAGGGACAAAATAGCATGATATTCATCTGGATTAAAAAGAATGTATGCATTCATTTAATACCTTAATTGATCGTTATTAACTACTTAATGATAACAGCCCTAATTTTAACTTGCAAAATAAGGATTTTTTTGTTGTTGTTGGCAAGTTTTATATGTTTACAGAGTGTGACACAGATGTTGAGTTCGATCCAAACTAATGATCTAACAAAAAAAAAACGAACCAATCAAGGCAGTGGTAGACCGTCAACTCTTGTGTTCTGCAACTTTAAGATACTGTTTTTGGCAGAGGAGCTTGTTGCCTTAAAGAGAGCGGAGTAACGGCTGCTCCTAATCTGTCACAGATCCTTTCTGTGATCTGCACCGTCACAAAATATGCAAAGAATAAACACCATGAATGCATCTTTAATAAATGCAACAATAAAAAAAGACGACTGGCCAAGGAAACCTTTACTAGACACACACACATATCTGTGAGTTGAGGTCTAAAGCAGGTTTAACGGGTAAAAACATTAGTGGTGATTATGAGTTTGGAGGGCTTTTAATAGTCACAATATTCAAAAGATGAGCCTGCATGCTCGTGCATGTTCAAAAATATGTGTTGCAGTCTTGCATGGAATATTCTGCTGAATAGAAATTTGCTTTAAATGTTAGTTAAAATGAATGTGCATGCATTAAAGGATTACAAATTCTTGCAATGCTGTCCCAGAAACAAAACTTGCTTTTCATACAATAATTACTCTTAAAATTGAGTCTCCATCTTTCCGAAATGAATTCATTAAATTGTACAAATTGGCCTGACTGAAGCCATATGCATCATGTTATATCCACTCCAAACATCTTGATCCAAAATGTCTAAATAAATACGCTCAAAATGACATCGTCTTGCTCGCTGTATATGTTCAGATGTCAGTGCTTTCTCCAATGAGGAGTCGAGCATTATAAAACTGACACACTTGACATATCTCAGGGGTGGGGCCTCCAGCAAGATTCAAAAGCAGCCGAACAAGTTCTAACAAACACATTAAAAGAGGTAATGGTATTGAACATTCCCCACTAATGCTCTCCAGCTATCACAATTGTTCTTTCCGTGCATGAGCACATCATTTTCACAACACTTCAAAAAAAAAAAAAAAAACCCTGCTGTACACATCTTGCAGTAATACTCATACACGGCATGAAGCGCTGTTGCAAAAAAAAATGAGCCTGCTCAGTGAGTTCCCACAAAACAGCAGCAAACAGGCAGAGGGAGCGACCTTAAATACCCTCAGCTGAGGACTGATGCTGCATTCAGTTGCTCCTTGGAAACTCCCTTTTTGCACAAAGAGAATTTGGATTGTCATGCAGATAAATGTTTCAGCATCAAAATTATTTTTATTATTATGCATCACCTTTTAATTATATTAAAAAAAATGCATTCATGCAATTTTACAATTAAGAGAGATTAACAAATATTGTGCAGGAATCCAAATGTTCAACGTCAGAATCTCTAATGCTTTCCTACAAAAAATCTTAATATAATTTATTTTTAAACATTACTGGTTAGATACTGGACTGACTGGTTATATTCCCACTACTGTCACTGACAATGGATGCTGATTTTTGATGAAATCATTAAGTCTGCTGCTTTTCTTTTTCACAAAAGCATTACAAATCTCTCTGGAAATGTCTAATTCATTTCGCTCTAAGTAGGAAATGTGATCTTAATAATACAATTAATATTTCTTATAACGATATAGCTGCTGTCACAGCAATCCGCCCCCTTTGGCTCACATCTCCTCACCTAAAAGAAAACCTCCCACAGTCACCTTGCTGGATCATCCATGCAGAAGTGTTATCATTCACTCTTGTATTTCCTGGCAGCATTTGAAGGCATCATCATATGCTCTCACATGTTTCCTATCACAAGAAAACTTCAAACTACGGCAAGATTAAAAGGACAGTTTATAATTATTTGCAAACAGGCCGAGCCAACTTTACACTCGCAAACAAATCTCCCCCCACCCACCCAGGGGTGCTAAAGCCTCATGATTCGTCAAATGAAGCATTAATAAACAACTCTCGGACGGCTGTTTGTGATGACTGACGTGACATGTTCAGAAGTCCAACCTTTAAGGTCACTAATGTACCGTGAAAGTATTGCTGGTTTTGCATGCCAGATGTTGATCGAGCGCTTCAGTGAAGTTCAGTGTTGCCAAAGCGAAAGCAAAGGTTACACCGACACAGTGGGGTGTAATGAATCTCTGACTTACAATTCAGGTCACGGGAGTAAATAATATCCCACCAGACGAGGATAATATGAAGCTGGTTGGATGCCCGAGGCTTGTGAGGGAAAAGATGACTTGGGCCCACGAACCAACTCCCCTCAAGTCTTCAGCAGGCTAAATCTAACCAGAGTACGTGCTGCTCTCTTCCTCTGACAGAACCTCCCTCCAAAAACCTCAACTTTAATGCACCCTAGCTTTTTGCTAAAATTAACAATAGATAAAAACTACTTTCTTGCATGTTTCTGAATGATCACCAACCGCTGTTTAATTCGGCATTGATAAAAAGCATCAAAAAATGAAAACAAATGTAACTTTTTTCACCAATTCTCAATCTGATCCTGCTGTCTTATCCCGGCAAAGAAAAACACCACCGTGGGCGTACGGAAGCGATGTCAACCAACAATAAAGTTAAAATATTGCAGTAATTAAGTACAGCTTGCTACATAAGTTGCAAGCCGAATTGCAATACAGGCTCCAACAATGCTGGAAACGTTTAATTCCAGTGCACTCAGGTGTGATCCGCCTGCCTACATGTGAGACAACACTGAATTGCAGAAAATCTCAATGTAGTTCGGCAAAGACAACTTAACTCCACATGACATAAATAACACACTTGGTGATCATGTTAAGAGCGTGAACATTAATATGCACATTTCGCTTATGAGGGGCTAAACACGGCCCCCTTGCTGCCATACTGTCAAGCACACAGTTTTTTTTTTTTTGGAGAGGCTGTCATTGACTAGACTGTTGTGCAAAAAAAAAAAAAGACCAAAACATTTAACATACCGCATATGCAAGACGAAGCTCGTATCCAAATATTATTTGGAGTCCCAGTGCCCGTGCATTCCTCCTCAACTGGAACCAGTGTCGATCTCCGTCGGCTAAAGTGAATGGGACACAGCGCCAGGGTTTAACCTGAAATGACCCACGCTGGTGCAAATCAGGCGAGAGCTCTGCGTGTGCACTGTATCTGTGTGGAGAGAGTGAACACGGCTACGGGAGTCTAGAGAGAGAGAGAGAAAAAAAAACAAAAAAAAAAAACTTCAACATGGAGCCGAAAACAAAATCTCAAAAAGCGGCACACTAACCAAACTGAAAATTGTAGCGCGCCGACTGATCGCTACGGGGAATCAGAGAGCTGATTCACGGGCAGGAACCGACCAAAATAAGCCTCGCCCTTATTACATACTCCCAAGTTTTTTTTTTTTTTCTCTTTTTTTCGATGGCGGTTGGCCGTTTTTACAGTAGGCCTGGTACATGCCGACAGGGCAGGAAACCTATTGCTCCAACTTACTGTGTGGGTCTGTGTGTGTGTGTGTGTGTGTGTGTGTGTGTGTGTGTGTGTGTGTGTGTGTGTGTGTGTGTGTGTTCAGGGGATGCATGAGGACACTTTGCATGATTAGATAATCATTTTTAAAAACGTTATAAGCCTCATTTACGTTCCCATTATTGTAAAACATTGAATGATGTTTCTATTACTTTAAATATCCGTACTATTTATTTGATTTAAAACACATTTCGGGGGGGTGTAAGTGTTTAAACATGAGCTCAACAAAACTATGTCATGCATTTCATAAAATGAATCATCTTGAATGTTGTGATAAGTTCCTTGTACTTCCTTTTTTTTTTTTTAAATAACATTTTTATCAAGATTTTTATTGTTGTTATTTATCATATACAAAATAACTTAAGAGCCAGAAATACTTTATTAATCAACGGGGGGAATTTGATCGTGACAGTAGATCTTCTAGACAATACAGAAGTAGGAAATTATTCTTAGGCCCGCTGTCAGATACTTTACTATCCTCTTAACCAGTGGTTCTCAACTGGTGGGTCAGGAGCCAAAAGTGGGTCACGGAGCCGTTTTTTTTAGAACGTGTGCATGGGGGGGAAATAATGTGTCAAAAAGTCTGTGAAGCGCTCTCAAACAAGTGTTTTATTTTGTTCTGTTTGGTTTGTTCTGTCACATGTTTTGCACCGTTTCAGGTCCAAACGGGACACGTTTTCATTCAATAGATCTGATTGGTTTCATGTAAGAGTTGACGGTTACCTGAAGCTATACCAGTTGAGAACCACTCCTCTTAACCTGATTTCACCCTCCAGATTATGCATCCAAAGGTTGTGTCTGACAGCCTGAACTGAATGCATTCATGCTTAAATCATAGTGTTTGCATTATTGGACTCATGCAGTTGGTTTCTGCGGCACCAGGGGATTAGAAGTGGGTTAGCCTTTATCTGTGGTATGTGGAAATATATGTTAATAATAAACCTAAAACCCAAGCACAGTTAATTATATATCCTACATCTTTATACAACAAGTAGCGCCCATGTCTGAGAGAACAAACAAGGACAATCAATGTTAAAAAAGCATGACAATACTTTATCTGTAATCAAAAACAACTGTACAGGCTTAAGTCACATATATTAAAGCAGATGTATATGACTTAACTATGGAAACAGAAAACATATTACTCCTTTTAACTTAAGCCACAGGCTCTTTCAGACTGCGCTCTACCTCAGAGTACGTTCATCCTCCATCTTTGGGATTTAAAACGCTTTTTATATTGTCCTTTTAAGCAATAGCATATTTTCAAATGTAGTTCTGAACCCTGCTAGCCGCTCCCTCTCTCTCCCTAAAGCTGTAGGTGTTAGAGAAGTATACGCCCATATAAGGAGGGCCTAAACTGGAACGAAAAGGTCAGGTGGGGCACATAAAGACTGCATATCAATGACGCCCTGAATTTTGTGCTATGCACCTGCCATGCAGCAATTTGTTCAGGGAGATATCAGATATAGCTGCGTCTCATTGCAGGGGTGCTATATTTTAAAGCAGTGGTGCTCAACTGGTGGGTCGGGACCCAAAAGTGGATCGCGGAGCCGTTTTCTGTGGGTCGCGAACATGTGAGTGGCAAAATAAAAGTGCTCTTAAAAGAATGTCGGTTTTGTTTCTTGTCTTTTTTCCGTCATACGTTTCATTCCATTTGAGATCCAAACTTCAAGCAGTAAATCTAATTGGTGGAGAAAACATCAGAAACTTGGGACATGATTTTCATAAAGGAGGTGGTTGTGGGTCCTTAGATTAGACTAGTTGAGAACCACTGTTTTAAAGGACTCAGTCAACAAAGGACCAATCCTTCTCGGCCCCGTGTAGACCGCTCAGGGTGAACTGTAATATGTAGGTCTGGTCTACAGAGGATTCTCCATTTGCATCAGCAGGTGTCCCCTCTCTTTACTCTTTCCTTTCTAAGCGCTGCTCCTGTAGCCTAAAGCAACCTCAATAGCTGCACTGGAACAAGCTAACTTTACTCACATCATGCAACTTACTTTACCTATGATTTTAAGAATAATTTGACGTTTCAAGGCGCCTTTTGTTTTTGTTTTAACGTTAGTAGTCGTAGCAAATCCGATTAGTTGAAACCAGTTACTTACATATAACTCGACCGCTTCAGAGTCCACCAGCTCATTTGAGTTGGCGCGCAGTGAATCTCAGGATATGTTGGGCCACCAAGGATGCACTGGATTGGATCCTTCATTGGCCTGGGTAAAGGAGGACACATTTTTCGGCCGCTTTTGAAGGAGCCTTTGAGATGGGATGGACAGCCTTCAATGTGCCGATACAGACCCTTAATTAGGACATAACCAATGTACTCATACCTGACTCTGAAAGTTCATGCAAGCTTCACATTCAGTTGGATAACAACTTTAAAAAAGAATGTTTGTATAGGACTCCCAGACCTTGACCTGGGTTGATAGTTAGATACTAAATAATTATTTCAAGATATACCATCTTCTATGCATGTATGTTATTTACAGCATATTATTTTTAAATTGAATTGTTTGTGTTTCTGAACATCAGATAATAAAATAAAAAATGAATATTTAACAGTGAGCAAGAGTGCTACACTCATACTCCAGAAACACAAACATGCATTGCATTAATCAGAATCAGAATCAGAATCAGATTTATTGGCCAGGAATGCTTACACACACACACAAGGAATTTAACTTTGGTGAACTGTGCTCTCTTATGTACAGGTACAACATTAAATATCAACAATAAACATTATAAGAAAATACTAATATTTACATGACTAAATATGAAACAGTGCAGTGGTGAATAGTGCAAAAGATGCTGAAGTAACATGATAATAAGAAAAATGCAGTTATGTGACGGATTGGTCAATTAAGATGTCAATTACAGTATTTACATAAATAAGTGTGTGTATATTGATCATGTAAATTAAATAATATATATATATATATACATATATGTATATTCACGGTGATGGATTGGTTTAGAGTCATTTCCTCCCCACCGGATCGTTGGTTGACGGCCTGCCAGAACAATTTCTGCTTTTTAATAAGGCAGTTTTTTCTTACCACTGTAACTTTTACTGCTTTGCTAAAGTGCTCATGATGGATAGGCCGGATCTTTGTAATATAGCAATAAGTAAGGTCTTTTACCTGCTTTTTGTAACATAACAATGAGTAAGGTCTTTTTACCTGCTCTTTGTAACATAACAATGAGTAAGGTCTTTTTACCTGCTTTTTGCAACATAACAATGAGTAAGGTCTTTTACCTGCTTTTTTGTAATGTTAACAGACAAAGAGTAAGGTCTTTTATCTGCTTTTTGTAAAGTGTCTTGAGATAACACTTGTTATGAGTTGACGCTATACAAAATAAATTGAATTGAATTGAATTGAAAATCTCACCGCGACATGTTCTGACACCCTGTGACTGTTTAGTGTTCATCAGAGTGACAGCCTGGGGGAAGAAACTATGACGCATTGTTTTTTAGTGCAGTGTTCTGTAACGCCTGCCAGAGGGAAGAAGTTTGAAAAGTTTGTGTCCGGGGTGTGAGGAGTCTACAGTGATACTACCTGCCCGTCTCCTGGCCCGGGACTGGTATAAGTCCTGGATGGGGGGGGGCAAACACCAATGATTTTTTTCTGCAGTCCTTATAGTCCGTTGCAGTCTGTGCCTGTCCAGTTTGGTTGCAGATCCAAACTAGACAGTGATGGGGGTGTGCGGAGAACAGACTGGATGATGGCGGTGTAAAACATGATCAGCAGCTCCTGGGGCAGGTTGAACTTCCTGAGCTGACGCAGGAATTACATCCTGTGCTGTGCCTTCTTTCTGATTGTTTAGCTTTTGTTTAAAATAGGTCTTATCAGTGGAATATGTAGGTCACTTCCTCATTGTATTATAGTAAAGATAAGAAAGGTTCTAAGAAATCAAATAGAGGACATGCTCTTTGTGGTGTCCATGTTTGTTCAACATTACCATTAAAGCTTAAGAGATAGACTGGGAATTGAGATAACGGAACTGATTTACTTGTTGGATTTTTTTGGCCATTTTTTTTTTACCTTTTTCAGATAGTACAGCTGAAGAGAGACAGGGGAAGTTGGGAAGGGAGAATGGGGGTTGACATGCAAGCAGAGTGCCGAGGTCGGATTTGAACTCGAGGCCGCTGCAATGGGGACTATTGCCTCCGCACATTGGACGTGCAACATAACAGCAAGGCTATCCTGCACCTCGGTCTGGCAGCTTTATACGTAAATAATTTGTGGCAGCTAATTCTTTAATGTCTTTGTCAGGCATACGTTACCTTAGATGACACTGATCCGTTGAGGTAGACCTGTTTTAGTTACCTGAAGTCACCTTTGCTTTAGTGTAGTGTATGTTTAACTTGGACCTCATCCAAGAGGGTGAAAGGGCATCCGTTTTTAGACATTAATGTCTGCGTGGATGTGCCTTACACTTTAAATGAAGTCTCCTGGTATCAGAGAAGATATATATTGTGGAGTATCGACCAAACAAGACAATTGTGCTTCAAAAGTGTATGTAAAATGCAAATGGAGGCGGTTAGTATCAAATTCTGATCATTCCAAAGGTGATTCTGTGATAAAGTGTATCTTGTTTTTCCAGTGTACTCACAGCTTGTAAACTGGGTTAGAACGGTTTGTATTTAAAGAATGGTCTGTACAGTATACGGGCAATAAACAGCAATAAAATAGTTCAGTGTGCCAAGTCTCCTTGTTTACCAACTGAAAAAGGTTTATTGGTTCAAGTACTGGTGCGCAATATGGAAGTTGCTCTGATATTGGTCTGAGAGGTGCCAGGTCACTTCCCGAGTACTGCCGAGGTGCCCTTGAGCAAGGCACCC